GCCACTTACTCGTTGCGCAATTTTATTGGTAATTAGACAGATTAGATGTTGTATGAAATTTTGATTGGTTCACTAAGGAAGAGGAACGGAATCAAAAACGAGGGAGTTTGAGAATTTATCCTCATAAAAGAGCACATTTGCAAAAAATGCTGCAGCAGAAACTGGCTGGCAATCTCAGGATGCGTGCATTAGAGATTGCTTCTGTGATAACTTATCAGTGTTTTGATAGCAACAAGCTCTTCGTAATTCGACGATTTTTCAAAAACCCTGAAACTGAAAGTTCCCATTCTCTAGAACAAGAGATTTCCTCCCAGGCAGCGCGAGTAAACCAAGTACTCAATTGAGATGATAGCCCTCTCAATCCCTGTCTCTCTTCACCCTCGCACCCTCTCAATCTGTGTTTATCCTCTAAAAGTACGCTGTAGCACCGAAAAAGTGCCCTCTCAATCTTTCATGCGGATCTCTGTTGCCTTCTCAATCCCTAGCCCAGTCTCCTCTTTCGCACAGCGGCTGCAGAGAGAACTAGAGATTGAGAAAGCGAAAACAGCATGCAGTTGCTCGACAGAGATTGGGAGGGTATGCAAAGCTGACTAGCAGACCGAAAGAGTAATTCCCAGTCCGGTGCAGGTCAGGCCGGGATAAGAGCCTTCTTGCGAGTGTCGCTATGTAAGCGGGATTTCTGAAGATTCGAAATCCCAAATGTTATGAGGATTAACGTCTTTGGCCAGCATTAGTTCAAGGGGCTTTTGATTGCCACTTCATTCAAAGTATAGGACTAAACTCTGTGTGATACACATACGATCGTAAATAATAAAGCAAGAAAGTTGAGTTAATAATACTTCACCATTTAAACAAGTAAAGCACACCAGTAGGGCCTGTGAAGCCGATGAATGTGCAACGATTACCAAGAACACCAGAACCGTCCGGAAAATCAGTGTGGATATCTCATTTTAGTGATGTTACTAGAAGTGATGTTACTAGACCTGGCGCACATTTACAGAACATCGATGCGTACAGTGTATACCCTTTAAATTCTGGAGGAGCCTTAACTGTTCAATTATGAATTCTAATGAAGATTGTTCGGCAATTCTATTCTAATTCTTCAATTTTTATTCAGCACTTGCTCGATTATTGAGGTCGGGAAAGGCAAGATCGAATTTAAAGCGAACAACGAAATGCCTATACCACGATATCATGTACAAGCACTTCCAGAAAGCTGATAACAATGCCTAAAAATGTATAAGTAACTCTAAAGTTAGAAGTGCTTAGACTCCCCGTGCGGAACTTTGTTACAGCCAGATGCGTTAAACGTAACTGATTACGTTAAACGTAGCTGGCTAAGCCAAAAAAAAGGATGAACAGAGTTACAGTAATTTGTAATTATCAAATAATTACATAAACAAGTCTGAAGATATTCAACAACAGCGCTGATGCGCGAGCAGGAATTGGTGCGAAAGCACAGTGGTACCACAATGGACTAGTTGTTGCTAATGTTACAAGGCACT